TGCAGGGGCTGGACTGAGGGGAAATGACGTATTGCAAGAATTAAATATTTCGTGAGGGGGGAGGCGGGGCGGGTGGGGAAGGAGGTACCACTTTTATAGCTGGTGACGGAACTCGGTGTGGGTGTGAGGCGCTGATGATGGTTATTCTGTGGGATGTGATGGTTTCATAGATGGCAGGGCCTGAGCTGCACTCTCGTGGAGGCTGGAGGCCGTGCTCGAGGACTGCCGTTGGCTGTGAGCCCTCATTCCCACCCCCATCCTCTCTTTTTGAAAACCATTTTCATTTCCTCACAGTAGTCCATGCGCATAATTTGAGAAGTCAGGTAGTACCGACACCTCTTCACCAAATGCAGTTGTTCGTTGCCTACTCCCACCCTCATCCGCTTCTGAGGCAACTCCTTTTAACCATTTCTTCTAGCAGTTTTGCGCTTACATTGCAGAGTAATGTGTCTATCTTTTGACTCTTCCATTTTAGATACTTTTCACCCCATTTCCTATTTAGTAAATAAGAATTTAGTTCTCTTACATGCCCACCCTTTCCACTCTCCAGCCATCCTCCTACGTAGTTCTCCTAGGCATACTATTCACAGGGACCTGGCAGTGTTCTTTTGAATATGTTTTATGCGTATATTAATATATAGGTAAGCATGCAGGAGACTAGCCCCTCCCCCCGAAAGACAGCCACAGCCTAATCCCCTGAACCTGTGGATGTAAATTAAAGATCTTGAGATGGGAGATTATCCTGGATTATCTGGGTGGACCCAATGCAGTCACAGGGACCCTTAGACGTGGAAGACAGGGGCAGGAGAGGCAGCGAAAGAGATGAAAGGGAAGCAGGGCCAGAGCAGTGCAGAGAAGGAAGATGGCCATCGTGGCTGTGAGGGTGGGAAGTGGCCATGAGCCAAGGAGTGTGAGTAGCCAACGGAAGCTGAAAGAATCAAGAAAGTGGATTTCCCCGAGACTCCAGTGAAGAGAAACATTTTGGACTTGTGGCTTCCAGAAGTGCAAGATAACAAATTTGTGTTGTTTTAAGCCATTAATTTTGTGCTAATTGGTAACAGCAGCAAATAGAAAATTAATATACTATGTAGTATCACCTACATACATACACACACATGTGCTATATTTGTATTTGTATAATACACACACGTACTGGACGTGTGTGTGTGTGTTTGTATAATACACACACACACACGTGTCAAGTACTATATATTTCAGTTCCATTCGTTGGTTACCCATTCTCTTGCTCTCTGCACGTTGTCACTGCTGTTTGGTGACTTCCTTTTGTGGTCATCCTGACCATTCCCTTTGCCCTCCTTCTGGCTGGAGTTCCCGTTTTCTGGATCCTGTGTCTTCCTCTTGCTTGGTTTGCTTCCCCATTTGGAGCACATCACCCAGGACAGACATCTGTCGTGTCCAAACCCATCTGGGTCCTGTGTCCAGGTAGCCAGGCACGGACAGCGAGCGACACCTGTCGGGTTGAAAAGAGGTTCGTTGGGAGGGTCCAGGGTGCCTTCCCGCTGCGGCTGAAAAGAAGGTACGGGTTTTGCTGCCGGGGTTCTAGGAGACCCATGGGGGAGCAGCCGGCAGGACACAGCATCCCTTTTCTAACCTTCCTCTCCTTGGTTTGGGTCCATTGCCTTTTACTCTCACCTGGCTGGTCGGCATTTTGTACCACGACCCTCTGTTTTGTGCTCTACAGGGAATGACCCTTCGGAGGTCTGGGGGAGGTGGGTTCTACTTCTTTTATTCCATCTTCTTTATTTTCTCACACACACACACACACACACACACACACACACACACGTCCTCTTCACCCCCGGTCCCCGAGGTGCCGGTGCTGTCACACCAGGTGTCTTTCACGGACTCGGGTATAAGTCAGTTTTCATGGGCTGCCTGAGATTTGGCCGCCGCGCGTCTGCTTTCCAGACTCCGGAGTTCCGATGGTGGTGTCTCCCCTCCGTTCAGCCCACGCTGTGACTTTACCTCTTATTAAAAACCCTTTCCAGCCAAAACCGGTTTGGCTCAGTGGATAGAGCATTGGCCTGCGGGCTGAAAGGTCCCAGGTTCGATTCCGGTCAAGGGCATGTACATTGGTTGCGGGTACATCCCCAGTAGGGGGTGTGCAAGAGGCAGCTGGTCAATGTTTGTCTCTCATCGATGTTTCTAACTCTCTATCCCTCTCCCTTCCTCTCTGTAAAAACTCAATAAAATATATTAAAAACAACAAACAAACAAACAAACAAAACCCTTTCCACTACGTTGGGTGTGTAGAGTCAAAATCCCACTTCTTTTTCCACAGGAGTTTTAGGATTGAACCAGCGATGAGAGTGATACCAAGATATATTCATGACAGGATTCCTTAAAAAATTGTTTTTATGCTGTTGTCATAAGCATCATTCATGGCCACTCGGCACATGAGAGGCATGAGCGAGGGAATAAAAGCGGCCTCTCATGGTGGTAGGGTCTTGGCAAGGATGTTTCCTTGGTGGCGTTTTTTTGTGGTGCAGCCTTGGGCGTGGGTGTGGAGGAGGCCTCGGCGCCAGGAGCGGCAGGGCCGTGCCTGGCGAAGAGCTGTCATGGTGGACACAGGCCGCCGTGTAGGGACCGTGGGACCAGGAGCGGGTCCCTCCCCTTGGCAGGGGTGAGAGAAAAAGGGGAGCTCCTCAGGCCACGCGGGAAGGACCGTGTCCAGGTCGGGACCCAGGCCATCCCAGCGGGTGGCCCTGAAGAGGAGGCAGTGCCTGCTGCCTGGCCACATGCTGGACGCTTTTAGATGGTACTGGGTGATTATGCCTGACACGGACTGATAGGTCTGCCCCATTGAGTAGCACAGAGGAACCTCAAGATTGGCCCGTGTCCGTTGCATTCGTGTTGAGGACAGTGTATGCAGCTCAGATGGGAGGCCGGGGGTGTGGAGGGCGGGGAGGAGGAAGGAGCATTCCTTTCCTTCTCAGCGTCCCCCATGGTCGGGGTCCACCCCTGGCCATGCCCTGCTTTTCCCTCCGTCCTTCCCCTTCTCACAGGCAGCCAGAGGTCCACTGCAGGTGCTGTTCTCGCAGAAGCCCCTCGGATGCTTCTAGGCCTCAGGGGGCTACGATGTGCCTCGTACCCCATGCACCCCACTCTGGGGCTCTCGGGGCTCCGCTGGGCAGGGCTGCAGTAGAGGCCTGTAGATCCAGTCCAGCTGCCCAAGCTTAGGGGTGCGGTCGGTGACAAGCCGGAGAAACTGAGTCAGGACCGGAACGCACACCTGCCGACTCCAGGTTCCGTGCTCTTTCTCACCAGACGCTGCCTCTCTCAGCGTCCTCACGCTCTGGAAGGGTTTGATGGGGGGGCGACAGGGGATGTTTATGCTAATAAGCCGAGTGGGTGTGAGGGGACTGGCTGGCTGATCATGGAGGGAAGTCTCATCGAGTTCTGGGTTGGACTCTCAAGAGTTGTTTCGTGGGTGCTGTAAATTGGGGGACGGAGCTGCTCTAAAGAGAGGGCTGGGCTCCAGCTTCTGCTTTGACCCTGCATATGAACAGGTCCTAACCTTTTCAAGCCTAAATTCAACTGTAGTGGAGGGACAGTAATAATACCAGCAGCTGCCCAAGGGAGCAATGGCTGTCAGTGCTTGGCATGGAGTTGTTCTCACTGTCGCCATCGGCACCCTCTGGGCCGGGGCAGCAGACATTCACTGCGCCAGCTCTGGGCTGAGCTTGGACATGCGCATTACACCTCACTCACCTGTAACGTACAGGGCCCCTCCTGTCCTGGTCCTAAGAGGCCCCCCCTCCAGCTCCAGCTTCCCCTCCACACCCTGGGCCGAGCCAAGACTGGGCTCCCACCTCCCAGCCAGGTGTTTGTCCCTGGGGAAGGGGCTGTGCCCTGGAGAGAGACCCAAGCCTGTGCTTTCTCTGCTTCCTGGTTTTTTTCAGGCAGGGAGCCTGGCTGGAGGGGGAGGGAGGAGAAGCCCTAGAGGGAGGGGGAGCCCAGTGCGGCAGAGCAGGAACTGGAAGGGGAAGGGTGTGGGTGGGCCCAGATCCCGCCTGCCTGCCTCCCCTGTCCTCCTGCCAATCCCCTCCCCGGCCCGGCTGGCTCTGGAGCAGGGGCTTGGCCCACGTCGTCTTCTGGTGGGTGGGGAGCAGGCAAACCCCGTCTGAGCAAGCGAGGAGGCTTGAAGCCTGCTGCACCTCCACCCCCAGCCGAGGCCTGTGGCTTTGTTACTTCACTGGCTTGAGGCCCACACCTGAGACAGGGAGGATGAAAATCCCCTAAAATTCAGCAGTGTGGGTTCAGAGGGCCCCCCTCAAGGCCGGGGCGTCTGAAAGGCAGATGGGGGGGCAGAGAGAGAAGTCTCCCAGCCCCCCTCCACGTGGCCGTGGGCTGCGGGCAGCTCCTCTCCCCGCCCCGCGTCCTGGCCCCGAGCACCGCAGGCCTAGGCCTCCGGCCCGCAGCCCGCATCAGCCTCGGCTTTCTCTGCAGGCCCGCGCCGGGCCCTCCCGAAAGGTGACATTCATCTCGCTACATCCTGTGACGGCCGCTCACTTCCTCCACGTGGGGTGGGAGCGGTGTGGGGGTGGCTGCTGGGAGGACCGATGAAGAGAAGGAAAATGTAGCTGGGCTGGGGACCTCTGGGATTTCCCAGGGGGCGGCTGGCTGGGGCGGGAGGGGTGTGGGAAGCGTTCAAAGGAAAGAACAGTCGTGAATGAAGAGCAGGGAGGAGGCGGGAGGCAGCTGCAAGTCCCAGAAGCGACTCCCCCTGGTGCCGCCTCCGAGGCAGGAGGGGCCCGACCGACGGGAGCCAGGCAGCGCCGGGCCTGTGCCTCCGTTTCCCCTTCTCTGCGGGGCTCGGCTGCCGGAGCCGCTGGTGAGCTGGGGAGGGGAGTGAGGTTGGGAGGACCAGTCCTCGCAGGCCAGCATCTGGGCCCAGCCTTGAGGAGGGAGCGGGTGGGACCAGAGGGGCCCGGATTGGGGTGCCCTGCCCCACTGACCCCTCTTCTCTTCCCCAACAGGTGGAGCCATCGCAACTCCCAAACCCACCGGCAGCCTGAGGCAGAGACTCCACCGACTGTTCCCCTCAGAGCCCGCCCGGATCTATGTCTGAGTTTTAAGCCTCGCTTTCAAAGACCACACGACCACCTCTTCCCCGCAGCCGAGCCGCCCCCCAGCCCCGTGCAGCCCCAGCCTGCCTCCCGCCGCCCAGCTGCCCGCCATGCCCGCCAGCGGCCCCGGGGACACCAGCAGCTCCGCCCTGGAGCGGGAGGAGGACCGCAAGGTGAGCAGCGGGCTCCGCCCGCCCGGGAACCTTCCAGCCCAGGTCGGGGAGGGCCCGCCTCCGAGTCACAAGGGCTCCGACGTGCTGGGCGCTGGACCATGCCACGCAGCCCGGGGCCTGGCTGAGGGCTGGTACCCCGCAGAGGCCGGGTCCTGGGGGCAGCGTGGGGCTTGGAGCCGGGTAGTCAGGATCCAGGACCAGCCCACCCCCTCTGCCCCCGGCCCGTGGCATGTGAGCGGAGGTTCAAATCCCAGGAGGTTCAAACCCTTTGTTGGGTTTGCCTGGCAGAGGCCTCAGGTCCGGATTCCTTTTGGGGTTGGCCTTTTACCAGCTATGTCATCAGGTGGGTCACTTCACCTGTTTCCCCAGGGTGTCCCCTAGCTTCCCGAAGGCCAAAGCCAAGGTCAGGGTCTTGGGAGATGTGACACCGTGGGAGGGCTCTCTCTCCGGCACAGGCAGTCAGGCACAGGGCGGCGGTGTGCACATGCTGGAGTGACACTGGTTGTCATGGAGACAGTGATTTCCTGTCCCCCCTCCCCGGCCCCAGGCTCTGAGCAAGTGGCACCTCTGCCCATGGAGTTGGTGACTTCCTTGTTTTCAGAGCTCCACGAGGGGTGACCTCTTCACCCTCCTGCCAAACTCGAGGATGGGCCTCAATCAGATCAAGGGGCTCCCAGCAAACTGGTGGGAGGCCCTGCTAGGTCCCGACAGGCTGCCTGGGACCTCACCAAGCTGTGTCACCCACAGGCACCTCCCCTTCCTTCCCCTCACCCCCCCCCCCCCCCCCGGCGGCATCAGTGGAATAGTAAACCCCACCACCACCCTCTGGGAAAGCTGTCTCAGCCACGGGCCCTCCTGGGGTGCCCTGTCTGTCATGCCGTGGTCCCCACAGTTCCCTCTGCCTGCCCCTCTTTCCTTGCGCAGGGGTAAGGGATGGTGGTTCTTGGCGGTCTCCGGGATATTCATGAAGCACAGGCATCTTTCTAGAATTAGTGTGGACACCTGGCGCTGGTGTGGGCCCTGAGCACTCAGGGGTGGCCGCTCTGCCGGCCCTGTCGGGGCAGCTCTGCTCCCTGCCCCTTGCTCCCTACCTCCCTCCTTCCTGGACTCGCTCGTTTTATAGGGTGTTTCTGTTTTCTGGGTGGTTTCCATCTATTTGGTCCTTTAGGGACAACCTTGAACAAGTGGGGCAAGGACAGATGGCCCTAGTTTACAGATGAGGAAGCTGAGCCCAGCTCAGTGGTGGGTCCAGATGGGAGCCTGCCCTCCCTCCTCCTGGATCAGAGCCTTTCCCACAGGGCCCTGCCTGCGTGGGTCCTGGTGTGGTCACACACACAGGCACGCACGCACACACGTGCACACACATGCACGGAACATGAAGCCCAGACACCTGCCCTCCCAGCCTGGAAGCCTGCTGCATGCCATGGAGGAGCGCATCCCCAACAAGCTGGAGAGAAAGTGCCTGTGCGGCCCACCGGGCAAGGCTCCTCGGGGCTGCAGGTCATTTCCATCCTGCTGTCCCCACGGAAGAAGGACAGGTAGTCCAGGTTACCCACGGGACTCAGGCAGCAGCAGGCCCAGACCGGCCACTGTAGGGTCGGGCCATCTGTGGCCACCTGTGCTCTTGAGTGGCAGCTGTGGCTGTGAGTAATTCCCTGTCCTCCCTGAGCCTGGCTCTGCCTCTCTGGTGGATGAGGGGACCCTGGCCCTCCTCCCCGGGTCTGATGTCCTGACTGGTGCTGGCACAGCCTGTGTCCATGTACTTGCGGCTGATGGTCAGCTGCCCCCCCAGGTGGGGAAGGTGGGGACAGCTGGGCCCAACTCCTCCCGGTACTGGACCAGGCTGCCCTGGGCAGCAGAGCCGCTGGTCCTTCTGGGGAGAGCAGCAGGTGGGGCGCTCGGTGAAGAGAGTTCAGAACAGAGAGAGGTTTCACGGTATGGAGGCGTCAGCAGGCCCAGGTCCCAGCCCCAAGTCTGCCTTCCTGGAGATGTGACTTGAGGCCATCTGGGCTTGCGCTTGCTCAGCTGTGGAACGAGGATGGTAACTCTAGCTGTGCCTGTTCTGCAGGGTGTTGTGGAAGTCAGATGAGGTCACGGGCATGGAAGTGCCCTGCAGACAGCAAAGTCTGGTCCAATTATGAGGGATTAGGATTGCTATTATTATCTACCTAGAGTGACTGCTCTGGCTCCAGCGGCAACAAACACATACCCAGCCCCAGATCCCGGTGCAGATAGAGTGAGCTGGTAGACTGGGATTGGAGCACGCCCATAGCACGCATGCCGGCTCGCCTGGCACACCTCCCTGGCACCTCCGGGCTGGCTCCTGAAGCTCCAGGAAGTTGCCTGGGGACGGCGGGTAGAGACGCTGACAGCCGCCCCAGCAGGCCGTAGGCAGGGGTGCCTGGTTGCTGCAGAGGGGGAGGATGGGCATGGAGCCCAAGGAGCCTGGCAGAGTTGCCAGGGGTACCTGGCACAAAGCAACTGCTTGGGAGCCAGAGGGAAGGGGTGTGGCCACCCGCTGGCCCCTTCGCCGCCTGGCCCCACGTGCCCTTCCAGCTGCTTTCCAGGCCACACCCCCAGGCACCTTTCACTCCTGTACTTCCTGGAGCTGCCAGGCCTTTGTTTATGCCGTTTCCTCTGCCTGCAGTGCCCTTCTCCTAATTTCCTCTGATCAAAACCCTCGCTTTCATCGGCCTTGAATTATAGCTTGTTGTAAACCAGTGGTTCTCAGAACGTGGTTCTTATCCATGCGCCCATCGATGGACGCTTAGGTTGTTTTTTAGCTGTTGTGCATAATGCCGCAATGAACTAGGGGCATAATGTTAAGTGAAATAAGTCAGAAAGGGGAAGACAAAACTATAGGACTTCACTCACGTGTGGAATCTTAAAAGAAAGTGAACAAACGAAATGAAACAAAAACAAACTCAGAGAACAGATTGGTGGTTCCCAGAGGATAAAACGGTTGAGGGTTAGGCAAAAGGGAATGCGGGGTGGGGGAGGGGGGGAGGTCAATTATATGGTGATGCGTAGCAACTAGACGTTTGGGGGTGATCGTTTTGTAATGTACACAGATGTCGTATTATAATGTGCACTTGAAACGTATATAATATCTAGAGGCCCAATGCACGAAATTCATGCAAGAGTAGGTCTGCCTTCCCCTGGCTGCCGGCACTGGCTTCCCTTCCCTCTGGCACCCGGGACTGGGCTTTCCTCACAGCCCCGGCTTTGTCCGGAAGATCTTCTGGAAGGACATCCAGTCTAATTAGCATATTACACTTTTATTATTATAGATTTAAAAAATGTGATTCCTAAGCCAGCCGCACCAGCACCTGGAAAGGTTAGAAATGCAGAAGCTTGGGCCCCACCCCAGACCTGCTGACTCAGAAACTCCGGGGAGAGGCCCAGCCATCTCTATGTTGTAACCGGCTCTGTAGGGGGTTTGAGACATACTGGTGTGGATAAAGCCATCCCCACTGCTGCCCGGGGAGGGCAGGGCCCCCGGGCCTAACTGGCACAGAATAGGTGCTCAGGAAATACTTCGTGGGTAAGATAGAAAAGAAAATGAGAGTGGGTAAGGGCCCTTCCCAGGAGAATAATCCCAGAGCCCAGGATCAGGAGGTGGGCCGCAGAGCAGTGGGTGATGGGCTGAGGTGGCCACCCCGTGGCTGGGCATGCACAGAGAGGTCTGTGTATGTGGTACCCCCCTGGCATCTGCCCAGCACCCCTTCTCCCTGCAGCCTCCCAGCCATATGGGGGGCTTCTTGGGGAAGCTGGGAGTATGCAAGCTTTGGGGGGTCTGAGCTCCTAGGCTCTGGCCAAGGTGGGTCAGTTGAGTACATGTGGACCACAGCAGAGGGAGGGGAGCTAGCCGTAGGGGAGATGGTGGAGGTGAGCATCAGGGAGGCCAGGAATCTTTGTCCTGGCTTAGAGAGGGTTAGGGAGGAAGGGCACCTGTGTGGAGGGGAGAGAGAGGGGCAGAGGCAACAGGAAAGAGGACCAAGAGCATTCCAAGCCTTAGGGCTGGAAGGACCTCCTCAGATACCCATATTATGAATCAGTGCCTGGCCAGGAATCCAAGGCCCTGGGCTGGGTCCCGGTCTTGCTGCTTCCCAATCCCTTTTGGCCAAGACGCATTCGGTGCTGATGATCTGCCAGGTGCTCTTTTAAGCTCTGTGCTTGCATTCTCTTGTTTCATTCTTATAATTGCTCTATAAATTAGGCACTATTATTTTTACCACTTAATCTGATCAGCGAGCCGAAACCGGTTTGGCTCAGTGGGTAGAGCTTCGGTCTGCGGACTGAAAGGTCCCAGGTTCGAATCCGGTCAAGGGCATGTACCTTAGTTGTGGGCACATCCCCAGTAGGGGGTGTGCAGGAGGCAGCTGATCGATGATTCTCTCTCATGGATGTTTCTAACTCTCTATCCCTCTCTCTTCCTCTCTGTAAAAAAATCATTAAAATATATTTTTTTAAAAATCTGATCAGCAAGAAGGAACCACGATTACCATACAGAAATGACCCCCAACAAAGACCCTTGACATTTCAGGACCAGCAAAGCCCCAGCTTCCAGGTTGGCATGTGGAGAAAGCCCTTGGGGGGCCCTGTGCCATGTGCCTCCCTGTTATTCCTCACCTCGGGCCACATGTGCTCTCGGCCACATTCAGCCCAGGAGGAAGGGGTGGAGTGCCCTGATGCAGGGCCTGCCCTGGTTGAGAGAATGTGGGGATCGCCAGGGAGGCTGCCGTGTGCCGAGCCTGTGCCTCGGGCCCCTGCAGGGCAGGGTGCTTCATGCCTGGTCCAGCATTCAGGCCTCGGGCACCCCAGGGCTGTGCTTAAGGAACCAAAGGTCCCAGAGAGCCTGGGTTAGGACTCGCACCCGGGTCTGAGTGACGCCAGGCCCTTCCCATCAGGCCCCGAGGCACAGCTTTGTGAAAAGCATGTTGTTCTCGGTCAACATACCATTCTTCCTCGATGCAGTCATGAGTCACAGGGCCAGGAGGGAAGAAAGCGGCCCCTGGTGCTCCGGGCCTGGCTGAGTTCACGCGGCCGGCCGGCCGGTGCGGGGCTGGCCCCCTGGGGAGGGTGAGCAGGTGGCTCGGGGCCGCGTCCCTCAAGGAGGCGAGGCGTAGCAAGGGGTTCATTCTCGAATCTGTCACGGGACCCGTTTCCCTCAATATCTTTGCCGAGCAAAGGAATTTAAAATATGCTTATCAAATCTGCAAGTAGCGCCGAATTAGGAAGCGTCGCTAATACTCTGAGAGGGGAGAATCTGATCCACAAGGGCCTCGGAGCAGCTGGAAACCAGTAAGGCCTTCAGCAGGAGCAGATCTGAGAGCCCAGGCTGGTTTCCTCATCTGTCAAGTAAGGGAACTAATTAGTCAATCCTCCCTCTGGGAAGTGGCAGGAGGGGCTGAGCGTCTACTTAGGTGGGCTTGGGGAGGGCAGAGGCGGGCTGGACTCCTGGCTCTGCCCTTGACCACAAACAACTTCAAGAATGTTTGTAACCGCTCCGGGCCTCGCTTTTCTCACCTACAAAATGGGGCTAAGAATAGCTGTCTCGCAGCCACGTTACAATCGAATGAGGTAATAGACATGGGAAGCTGACATGTGATACTCATGAATCGCTAACCTCCTCCGCTCCCACAGCACATCCTCACCAGAATTATTCTCAAAAAGTGCCTCGCCCCCTCCTTTCCCCGTCCTCCCTCCCTCCTGCCCCGTGCAGATCCCAGCTCAGGGCGACAGACACACCCAGCCTCTGGCTGGGACTGCTGCAGGGAGATACTCAGGGACCCTGGAGCTCCTCCATCTTTCCAAAGTGCAAAGCTGATTATGTCCCTCGCAGAGCTTAAGCCCCTGCTGAAGGGCTCCCAGGAGCCCCCAGGATCAAGCCAAGCTCCTTAGCCCGTGTGAGGGAAGGCCCCTCAGGATCTGTCCAGCAGCCTAGGCCCCCTCTCTCCACTGCCTTCCTTCCACCCGAGTGCAAACAGACCGCACCAGGTGTGAAAGCGGGCTGCTTCCCTCCCCAGCGCCTTGGCATGGACCCTTCCTTCTGTCCCAGCCACCTTCCCCTCAGGCTGGCCAGCAGACCTTTAATTTTCCAGCTTGCTTCCTGGATTCCCTTCTCCTGGGCCTCCTCCCATCCCCCCCATGTAGAATGGACTCAGAGGTCCTTCTCTTTTAGCGCCCACCATCCAGCACTGCAACTGCCAGCTACTGTCCTAGCCAGGCCACCAGCTCCTTGAGGTAAGAGACTGTGTCTTGTTCACCTTGGCATCCCCAGTGCCTAGGTCGATGCACCTGACATAGGGAAGGCGCTCAGCAGCACTTGGGGTGTGACTGTCACGTGGTAGGTGCTCAGTAAGTGAGTCCATTCGCACAGAGGCACACAGGCCAGTCCACCGACCTGCACAAGTACAGCCATGCTTGAGGCCCCTGTGCCACTCTGATCATTAGAACTCCAATGCACTCTCCAGGCTTACATATAAGCATGTCACTTTACATTTACACATGTAGCTCTTTTACGGCTTTCAAAGCACCTCCACGTTCGGTGGCTTGTTAGATTAGGTAGCCACCACTGGCCCCTCTCAACGTCTGAGGCTACGCCTTGACCTACATTTTAACTCCGCTCACTGGGTGGATTATTTTAAGTCACATACAACTTCTCGTTCTGATAAGCTGGCCTGCGGCGATAATGATCTCTCAAATGTGTGGTCCATGGTAATTAGCGAAGCATTTTCACATACGTTATTTCATTTTTATTCTTTTACACTTTACAGAGAGCAGGGATGGCATTGTTCTTTTTCCATTAGGCAGGCGGGAAATCTGAAGCTCAGAGAGATTATCTAACCAGCGGAGAGCCAGGAAGTGAGGACTTTAGAATAAAAATTTTAATATTTTGATTTCCAGCCTATGGGTCTCTCCACTACATACCCTACTGTGCAGTGTGCTGCTGACAAATGTGTGAGCGAGTGCGCGCGCACACACACACACACACACACACACACACACACAGTGAAGTTATAAGCATGCAGGCAAACCACGGTAAAGGTACACCCCACGTGCACACGTCCACACACAGCTGTCCCAGGAGCCTCACCCCCAGACACGGTGCCCATCTCGCCAAGAGAGATGCATCCCACCAAGCCCTCCCCCAAAGCCAGCCAGCCAGACGTACGTGCTCCTTCAGAACGTACACCGGATGCTACCGACCCAACATCCGCTGAGCAGATGTCTCAAGTTGGGGATTGAGTAGAGGGGATGAACTTGACGCATCTAGCCAGACACTTGCCCGGGCCCCCTGGGACAAGAAGCATGCACAGCCTTGGCCAGCTGGCTGGCCGGCCTCCCAGGGCCTGCCTGTGATTGTGAAACTCAGTGAAACCGATTGGCTTCACCGGCCAGGACCGCCCGAGGACCGCCACAGGGCCCCGCACAGCACACGCACACACACTCTCACACACACCCACTCACACACACGCATACACACTCTCACGCACACACGCCCGCATGCCCGGCCTGCCCAGGCGGGGCCTGCAGAGAGGTGACCAGCAGGTGTGCTGCTAGATGAGGGGCAGGGAGGGCAGAGGCTGATGGTGTGAACGGCCACATTGCACCCGGTGGCACTGGAATCACGGCAAATGCTCATGCTTCCTTCCACACGGCCCCCCAGAGCCCCGCTCTGTCTGATCTCAGTCACTCTTCCCTTGGCCACCGAGTGGACCTCATCATAATAGCTGAGGGGGGTCAAGGTGAGCCAAGGCATCGACCCTGAGATGCTCCTGGGAGGTGACAGGCATATGCGATGCTAGCACCGCGTGGCAGACCCTTCAGGATATATTTTATATGTACATCCCCTGCCCACCAGCCCTCACTCCAAGTGTCGCACGCACTGCCAATGTTCATTACTAAATTTAATACTTCTTTCCTTGTGATGTTATTCTTTTTCAATAAAGATGATTCGTTAAATAGACGCCTGACTTCATTTTGTGCTGCGTAAGACTTTCTTCCATATAAATAAACTCACGTCCAAAAAACACCATCTTGGTCGGTGCGTGCGGTGATTCTGCAGTTCAGAAATGTGGCCGCCAGGAGGGAGGGCTGCCGGTGCGTGGGGGTGTATCTGGGTCTGCCCCCGAGTCCCCCGAGGCGCCCGCCCAGGGTGGCTCAAGCTTTTCCAGGCCGAAGGGGGTAAATGAAGTGCATCCCTGCCATGGGGGGACCACATGGCGCTGGCCGGGAGTGTGGCTGTGGCGGGGGTGGGGCGGGGAGGAGGCCTGTGGGATCCAGCCGTGGCCTCACTGGCTGTGTCTGTGCCCGCAGGAGGGAGAGGAGCAGGAGGAGGCGCGCGGCAAGGAGGAGCGGCAGGAGCCCAGCACCACGGCCCGGAAGGTGGGGCGGCCCGGGAGGAAGCGCAAGCACCCGCTGGTGAGTGTCGTGGCAACCCCACAGCACACACGCACACACAGGCCGTGACGGGTGTCTTGCGGGCCCCTGGGTACGTGAAGACGCTGCGAATGTGTTCGCTTCCCCGTTCTTTGAGCCCCTCGGCCACTCCCAGGATTTCCCTTTTCTACACGGAACTGTGGGTTTGGGCAGAGCAGGGACTCGAACAGGGCCCCTGACTCCTGCCTTCCTTCTGAAAGGGCAGCAAGAACCCTGACAGCGCAGCATTTGCTTCTGCCTAACCTGCCTGCACAGGCCCCGCCCTACCCATCCACACACCCACTCGGAGGACCTGAGGAAGGGAACTGAGATGGGGGGTCTGATCAAGGATGAGTAGGGAAGACATGCCGGCTAAGAAGGCCCTTTGTGAGGGAGGGGGAGAACTGGGTCCTGGTTGAGTCCCATGGAAGTGTAGGCCACAGGCTGCCCGCAAGCCCCCCCGGGCAGCTAGGCGCTGCTGCCCCTGAGTCTAGGAGGGCTCGGGTTGCCCAGAGGAGGAGTGCTCTGGAGGGCAAGGCCTGTGGGCATAGCCTGCCTCCCTGTGCCTTAAACTGAGACAGAGCAGTGATTATCCGCCAGCACCGAAGACAGCTGGTTCCTTTCTTTTAGCCCCTTCCAGCTGAGAATGGGAAACTTGAGGCAGGAAGGTAAGGAGAGGAGCCAGAGCTTGGATTTGTAACTGCCCTTCAAGGAAATGCTCTCAGCAGGGCAGATCCCCACCCCCCCCACCCCCTTGGGCAGCGCCAGGGTGAAGGGCCGGAGTGAAAGGAGACAGCTGAGGGAGGGAGGGAGGGAGGGCCGCAACAGCTGGGCCTGGGTGGTTCCCTGAGCCCGGGGTTTGGGAACCTGCCGGGTACTGGAGGGCACCACCCCCAATTCTGCTTGAAGATTTGGAGGGGAAGGGGATGGGAGCGGGCATTTATCTGTTAATGTTAGGCATTTTAATATTAACGCAAACATGAGTCTTTTATGGCCTGGAATGAAAATTTCACATGACGTTGAAAGTCAAAGCAGGGGACTTTAAAGGAATGCCCACCTCGCAGCAGACTCCAGGCTGCATCCTGGGGTGCCTTCTCAGCGTGCCCCTCCGTTCACCTCCACCCCTAGGGCACCTTGTGGGAGAAGGAGGGGGGGGCACAGTACCAGCTGGAGTGGGTGGGGAGGCAGGCTGAGTCAGAGACCACTGGTGATTGCACACCTGCACGTGTGCCCATGACCCACCGTCCCCGAACTGGGTGCTGGGGATAAGAGCCCCCACCAATAGCAAATAAAGACCTTGCAACCCTCCTGTGAGCCCCTGGAACCAGCGGGAGGGTCCATCGCTGAGAGGTGGGGTGCAGGCCCGGGGGCAGGAGGGAGGTGTGTGGAAACGTGTCCAGAGATGTGCATGTGAGAGGCGAGAGGGGGAAGGGGCAGTGCGCGTCATAGGCTCCCAGCCTGAAGCAGGGCCCAGTGTGGAAAGAACAGCTCTGTGTTTGGAGTCCGGCAGACCTGGTTTAAATCCGGCTCCACCACTCACCCCCCGTGTAACCAGGAGCCTTGGGCCCCCCTTCCAAAAAAAAAAAAAAAAGAGAAATGATACGCATGCATCCCTCCCAGACCCAGTGAGAACTCAATGGGTTCCGCCACCAAAGAGCTAGTGCTCAGCAGAGGTCAGCCCTGTCCTTGCTGGCCAAACCTCTCCTCTTCAGGAGGCCACAGCAACCTCCGTTTGGCAGGAGAAACAGCCCTGGGTTGATCGTATCCCAGCTGTGTGGTCCTGAGCACCTTACGGACACAACCCTGAGCTTCTGCGTACTGGTTCCATGTGACCAGCAGTCACACCTGCCCTGGCCACTCAGCAGAGTGAGTCCAAACGCGCAGGCCGTGTTCTAGGTGACACCTCACGACAGGCCCCAGGAGAGAGGAGAGAGAACATGGGGGAGGCAAGGCTGGTTGGAAGGCCTGGGGCCGAGGCAGCTGCTGTGAAAGGACCCCTTGCACATTGGGGAAGCGGAGAAAGACGGACCCCAAAGAGAGCAGCCAGCACAGCCCTTCCTGGGCATCAGGCCCCGGGGCGGGGGTAGGGGACTGGGTAGCAGAAGAGGAAATCCATGCTACAGCAAGAGGCCAGTCCACCCATGGTCGCCTTGCCTGGAGGCCATCTGGGTCACTCGTGCTTGAGCAAGTGCTTGACCTGGCCTCCTCCCTCCCCAGCTGGGGAGCACAGCAGGGAAGGTTTCTTGGGGACCTGGTGCAGCTGTGGCCCTGAGAACCACTGGCCGGGAGCTTTAAGCAGCTGAGTGTGTGTCAGCCAGCTAAGCTGGAAGGGGGAGGGAGCTGGGCTCCGGTCCCAACAGGTGGAACAGAAGGAGACGTGCTGGAAAGCAGGAGAGGAAAACCTGGCTTCAGGCTGGGCTCTTTGTCTGTGCAAAGGTCGCCTGAGCTACATCTGTTAGTGTCCTCAATATCCCTCCGGGCCTCGAGGTTAGGAAATCTCTGCCCCCGAGGCCTATCTGTGCTGGGTGCCTTCCACTCATTCCTGCGCCTGCACCTGCCTCCTGGCTGCACCCTCACCCAGGCCTGACCCCAGGACGGTTTCCCAACCCCCAGCCCTTCCTCCCCCAGGACAAATACTTCATTCCTGCCGAGCAGCTCCCAGGGTGGGGGAGGCCACACAGATCAACAAGACTTAGCTTTCAACCTAGGAAAGAGAAGGCCTGGGGCGGAGGCAGCTGCTAGGAAGGAGACCACACATAATTCCACCTTCTACAGCCCGTGGCACATCTCCGATCAAGAATCTCCAGGATTCTGCCAAGACCGGTTTGGCTCAATGGATAGAGCGTCGGCTTGGGGACTGAAGGGTCCCGGGTTCGATTCCGGTCAAGGGCATGCATGTACCTTGGTTGCGGGCATATCCCCATTAGGGGGTGTGCAAAGGCAGCTGATCGATGACTCTCTCATCGATGTTTCTAACTTTCTATCTCTCTCCCTTCCTCTCTATACAAAATCAATAAAATATATTAAAAAAAAAAAAAAAAAAAGAATCTCCAGGATTCTTAGGGGACAAGATCTGGAATGCTCCACCTGGCCCCCCGCCACGGGGTCTCTCCGGCCCCTGTCCTGGTGCTCAGTAGCCACCTCTTGCCACAGACACATAGAAACCCTCTCTTCCTGCTGCTCCTTGAACACATCAAGCACGCTTCACAGCCTCTTTCCTCTGCCTGCCCCAGAGCCCAGCCCATCGAAGCCTGGCTTGCAAAGGCAGCCCAGCTCCGCCATCACGCACCACACTGACTCTCCCTGTTGGACTGTTGGTAAAATTTACCAAAATGAACACCAAGATAGTAAAGGCATGTGCTCACCCCGGTCTGCAAAACCGTCCCCTGTCTGGATCCAATTTGAGAATAAGTGTTTAGAAACGTTTATATCCGTTTGATCCTACGTCCACCTCCAAGCGCATGATTTTGTGTTTCACAAAAGTTACATTTCTTTCTTTCTTTTTTTTAAAATATATTTTATTGATTTTTTACAGAGAGGAAGGGAGAGAGATACAGAGTAGACAGTTAGAAACATCGATGAGAGAGAGTCATCGTTCAGCCTGCACGCCCCCCACCAGGGATGTGCCTGCAACCAAGGTACATGCCCTTGGCCGGAATCGAACCCGGGACCTTTCAGTCCACAGGCCGACGACGCTCTATCCACTGAGCCAAACCGGTTTAGGCAAAAGTTACATTTCTTGATGTGTGGGGAATGAAAACAGCAAAAGCAAAGGCAACCACCTAGCCTCTCGGCCCCCTCCCCCCCCCCCCCCCTCCCCCCCCCCCCCCCCCCCCGCCAGCTGGAAAAGCAGGTGGGAAGGGCCTGCCTTCCCACGAGATGTGCCACCAGCATGGTGGTCCCTGAGCTGAGCCTCTGGCACTGTGTGCCCACCTCCCTGAGGACAGAGAGCGTGAATAAATGCCCAGCGCTGTGCCACACGCGATGCCTACGAAGGCCTTCCCAACAGTGACACGTGTGACCCTGACAGCAGCAGACCCGGGAGGGGCAGGTGGGGACCGCTGTTACTACCTTCCTCGCTCTCAGACGAGGAGGCTGAGGCTCACACCTCCCATCTGCAGAGCCCACCGTGCTTGTCCCTCCAGCATTTTTCATTGTTAATATGTGAAGGCAGGGCTGTTTGAAAACGTGTGTAGATCTGGTCCAAGAAGCATACAGAGGAAATGTAACTGGGGGGGGGGGGATGATTGACCCACACACCAGGGAGCCCGGGAGGCCACGGGTAAGGCGGTGGTGGTCTGAGGCGTGAGAGGCGGGCCCGCTAAGACCGGGCCTGGCGTCGGCTGCACCACTGGCCTCAGAGCCAAGATACTCTTGATCAGAGCCGGCAACAGGAAACAGGAAGCCGCTGCCGGGCGGGGCGGGGCTTAGGGAGGGAGCTGGCACCTGGACGCGGGGCCTGCGGGCTGGCGGTGCCTGTGATCGGGAGGAGGGGACGGCGGCATGCCGGGCTGGTCTCTGCTGGCCGAGAGCGTGAGCCCGCGTGTGGGTGTGAGCGGCGGGGGCGGGCGGAAGAGGCATCTTCCTGTTCGCCAGCTCCCAGGGACGTCCCGGAGTCAGCAGTGAAGATGTCCGAAGCAGGTTCCTGCCTGGTCACAAGCCCAGACAAGCCCAGCGCCGCCTTTGTCCCTGGCACCGGGAGGGAGGGTGCCCGCCCTGGCCCGCCAGACCCATGGGGATGGCCGGCCCTCGGGGCTCCAGGGCCCCTTTACCAGCGCTGTGTATTTATTCACTGAAGATTTATACCCACCACCTCCCTCCAGGGTTAATTTTGCTCAGTGGGAGCACCCTGAGGTCACCTCTTGCTAAGAATAACCCAGAAAGGGAGGGCGGGGGCGGGGAGGAGGGGCGGGAGGGGCTGGGAGCAGGCGCCGAGCTCAGCCAGGCCGGCCCAGAGCCAGCGGTTACTCACTCCCCTCCGAGCCTCCAGCGTGACGCCCGAG